TAGAAATTCTGTGTGTCATGTGCGTTGGAAATATTTTTCCTAGTCTGCCGTTTGTCTTTTTAACTTTGTTTATGGTATCTTTGGTCATATAGAAGCTTTAGATCTTTATTCAGTCAAATCTGTCAGACTTCTCCTTGGGGCTTCTGAGTTTCATGTCTTGCTTGGCCAGGCTTCCTGAAAGGATCTTAAGCCGAGTGGGGATGAGGTCAGATTTGTGACGGAAAAGGTCGTCTGATTGCCACTGTGCGGAAGGTAGGTGGAGGGAGGACTACAAACTAGAGGACAGGAGGCAGCTGAGACTTTGTACTGGGGTGGGGGGTGGTGAGAATTGGGGAGAAGGCGAGTTTGAGAAATATTCAGGGATTTGCTGTCCATGGTGATGGGATAGGAGGGTGCAAGAGGGAAAGAGAACCCTGGGTGTTTGGCTGGGGGACAGTGTGGCTGATGCCACCATCATCCTGAGTTGGGGACAGAACGAGGGAAGGAAATGCATTCAGGTACACGTGGGTGCCCACTTCAGCAGGGACAGGTGTACACGTGGGCATATTCATGCACACACATGCATGCTTAGAAGCCTGCCCTTGTCCCAGGAGCTTCTTTAATTTCAACAACTCCCACCCCTGTCTCCAACCTGAGTCCCCTCCCCTAGCTCACCCAGCACCCTGCAGGGTGCTGTGCAGTGCCATAGGCTCCAGCTAGCCTGGCCAGGGTCCAAAACGCGAGGACTGACACCACAGTCCGTGCTCATAGGCAGGGAGCTTCTCGAGTTTGCCCTCTCAGGAGAATGGCCTCAAAGAAGCTGTATTGTACTCACTGAGGGGGCTTGTTTCGGGGTGGGTGCAGGAAGGAGTGTATTCCACCGTAAATAAATGTCACTTCTTGGAGAAAGGGAGAAGTGCAGGGGCATTTACAGACACAGAGGACTTTCCCTTGGGTTTCTGTTCTTATCTTGAGAGGCTGCCTCTCTCCCTGTTCTCTGTGTTGTCCCACAGGAGCACACAACATTTAAGGTGATAATTGCCAATGTAAAGTGCCAATAAGTTCATAACATAAGTCTATAATTAAGCTTGCAGCTGGTGGTCATTTGGGGCTCCAAGGCGACCTGTCAAAGGTTTCCTCCCCGCCACCCTCCCAGGTATCCATCCGGGTCAGTTGAGTTGGGGCTCCAGGGCCTTTCTGAGAGCTGGTCCCAAACCTGAGCCAGGGATAAAGCTCTGAAGACACTCCTGCCTTTGTTTTAAAGTTCAAGCCCTTGAATGTAGGCCAGGGTCCCAACTGTCATGGAGGTGATCTCACCTGCCTCAGCTAACACCTCCCTTGTCCAGGTGGGGATTGTCTTGCTGAAGGACCTGGAACCTCCCCTTTTTCCTTGTGAATAGCAAACCCTTAAACTTGGGGATTGAGATTGTGCTACCACCACCCCTTGAAATTCTTCTTATTTAGAGGCTCCCAGATGGAGCTTAGTTCTCTCACTTAGAAAGTCATCCCAACACGTTCTCAGACCAGATAGGGTAGCGAGGTCACATCTGTGCCCCAGATGGCAAGTGGGGGCACAGTAGGGTAGCAAGGTTGTGCCGACTGATGAATTCTCACTGAACTCTCAGTGATGTGATGCAACAAAGGTTCCCTTCTTCTTTCTTCCTTTAGCTATGAACTCACACTACATGTCCAGTGTGGGAAGTGGTCCTTGAGTCATTCAGGGGATTGACAGACGCTCCACCACCCTGTAGCTGCCCCATCTGGAACACGTGGCCTCCCTCAGGCACTGTGGCAAAGCGGAGAAAATGGTAGTCACACACTGGCTCTTACATGCTACGGCCCAGCAATGACACACATCACCTGTGTTCACAGCCCAGAACGTCTCATATGGCCTCAACTGATTGCACAGTGTAGAGGGACTGTGGGGGACATTGTGCTGGTGGGGAGGGTGCAGAGGAAATGTGCCCAGACATTCAGGGAACAATACAATTCTCTGTATGGAGTATCATGAGGCCACTTTCAGAGCAAGGGTTTCAGAAGAGCCAAGCCCATGACTTCTTATTCATTCTCTCTGCCTGGGGTGGCCGACGCCAGAGAGGCCCAGAGTGCCTGGGAGGGCCAGGTGGGTAAAGCTCTAAGCAAGAGTCCCTATAGACAAATGAGGCCCTGGCAGGCCCAGGCCCCCCACCCACTGGCTCTAGCTTTGCCTCAACCTTTCCCCTCTTATCTCATTGATCGATTTCAATTCTAACACATCCTACACATGGAATTTCTCAGGAGGAGAAGCAGGACTGAGAGTGAGGTTGAATTCAGCTTTGGTGGGAGGAAATCCAAGACGAGACACCCAGAAGTCACTGCGTCTCAGTCCATTCAGGCTGCTGTAACAAAATACTGCTGACTGGGTGGTTTATCAACAACAGCAGTTTACTTCTCACCGTTCTGGAGGCTGGAGCTCCAAGATCAAGGTGCCGGCAGATTAGGTGTCTAGTGAGGACCCGCTTCCTGGTTTGCAGATGGCCCACTTTTGATGGTGTCCTCACGTGGTGCAAGGGGTGAACAATCTCTCTGGGGTCTTTTTTATAAGGGTACGATTCCCATTCATGAGGCTCCACCCTCATGCCCTAGTCACCTCCCCAAAGCCCCACCTCCAAATATCATTACATTGGAGATTATGTTTCAACATATGAGTTGGTTAGGGGGACACAAACATTCAGTCTGTGGCACCCCGGGTATGATGGCCTCAAGCTCAGGAGAGCACCCTCGCTGGGAGAGGAGAGTAAGTGTTGGCTTTCTTCCACGCTTTCAGTCCTCAGCAGATGTGGCTGCCGTGGGCCCTGTAAGGTACTGATTACCACTGCAGAGTCTTACTCCAGAACACCTAGGACTAAAACGTGGCTTGGCCCCTTATTAGCTATGTGACATTGGGCTAGTGACTTCTTTAGATCCTCTTTAAAATGGGGATATGGAGAGCATCTGTGTCTCATAGGGTAGTTGTGAAGATTAAGTGAGTTGATACTTGTAAAGCCCTCAGAACAATGCTGGGCACACGATAAGGGCCCCATGAATGTTAGCTGTCACCACTACCACTGTCATCATTGTCATCATCACCGTCATCACCATCATCCAGCACCAGAGACTGTTCTAAGTGTTGGGGAGTGGATGTCAAGGTCCCTGTTCTCACATATGATGGGGGAAATGGAAAATAACAGATAAATAAATTAAGATGATAATTTCAAATGGTGATGGTCCCAAAACAATAAATCAGGCACATGAAAACTCACTCATCGTCATTAGTCCAGGAAACACAGATTAAAACCACGATGAGATTGCACTGCCTAACGATCACACTGACTTTGATAAAGCTGACACCACCAAGTGCTGGTGAGGATGCAGAGCAAACGGAACTCATATGTTGCTGGTGGGAATGCAAAACAGTGGAGCCACTTTGGGAAACAGTTCGGCAGTTTCTTATAAAGTTAAAAATATGCTTCCCGTGTAACCCGCAATCCTGCTGCTAGGTACCCAAGAGAAATAACAACTTACGTTCACACAAAACCCGTATGTGAATATTTACATTGGCTTTATTCATAATCGCCCCAAACGGAAACCTTCAGCTGGTGAATGGATAAACAATTGAATACTACTGAGCAATAAAAAAAAATGAAATTCTGATACAAGGAACAACAGAAGTAAATCTCAAAAGCATAATAACGCTAAGTGAACAAAGCCAGACTCAAAAGGCTACATATAGATGATTCCATTTATGTGACATCCTGGAAAAGGCAAAACTGTAGACAGAAAACATCGGTGGTTGTCAGAGACTGGGGGTGGGGGGAACTGACTACAAAGGGACAGAATTAGGTGATAGAATTGTTCTATATCTTGATCACAGTAGTGGTTACACGGCTGCATGCAGCTGTCAAAACTCAGAACTGTGCACTAAAGAAGGTAAATTTTACTGTAGGTAAATTATACCTCAATTAACCTGACTGGAAAACAAAGCTAGCTGTGGGATTGTTGAGACAGGGAAAACCAAATGATGAGTCAGTCAGTCAGGGTGTTTGACACTGGTAGGGAGGGGCTCCTGCACACAGCAGTCAGGGAGGGCTTTCTGAGGAGGCGCCTGGAGCTGAACCTAAAGGAGAAGGACCGGGGGAGGGTATGCCAGGTAGAGCAGCAAGGTGGCGCAGGTTTGTGGCTGGAACTGAGTGAAGGAGGAGACGGGGACAGGTCAGGGGCTCCGACTCCCCTGGGCACGATGGGCACCACTTGGGGGCACATATAGAGGGAAACTCTGAAACACCGATGTAGGTGAGGTGGCCCGGGGAGGGGAGGAGAGGACAAGGAACGGCAGCTGTGACCATGTGTAGGAAGGGTGATGGGGGTGCAGTGACCCAAGGAGAGGGTGGGTCAGGGAGCCCTGGCAGGCTGAGGTTGGGGAACTGGCACCGGCAGGTGGGGTCCTTTGGGATCTTGCTGAGAGTATTGTGGGTGGTAGTGGGGTAGAAGCCAGACATCTGGGTTGAAGGGTGTGGGGATGAGAACATGTAAGTGAAACTTAGAAGGGACAGACTTGGTGGGAAGCAGTGGGAACCTCAGAGAGAATGGGGTGGAGTTGCCCATTTGTGTGTATGTACATGTGTATGCATGTGTGTGTGTATGCATGTGTGTGTAGGTGGGTATGTATGTGTGCATGTGTACGTATGTGTGTGTGTGTGTATGTGAGCGTGTGTGTACTTGGTGTGAATACAACTTGCAGCGTGGGCCTGACCTACTGAGATGGCCAGAAGTGGGGGCTTGGACAGGGCCTTGAGTGCCAGGACAGAGGGCCACTCGGGGGGCTGGGGAATGGCAGAAGGCTGGTTTTGCGAGGCCCATCCCTGAGGTGGGAGGCAGTGCCGAGCTCCCCTGGGCTGGGGCACCGGAAACTGTCTTGGGGATGGTGTCCTGAGATGGGCCCACCCAGGGTGGCTGAAGCTTCATCTTTGCCTGCACTAATCTTCTTGCTCTTCCCCCCGCAGTGCATGCTGGGACCGCGACGGACAGGCTGTTGCTCCCCGGGCTCCCAGCGGCCACTCTATTTGCCTCCTGGTGCAGTCTGACCCAGGTAGGGGGAGAGTGAGGTGGGCTCTGCCTCAGGCCTCTGTGCTGGGTGGGATGTCTCTGAGAGTGAGGACTGAGTGAGTCCCTGCCAGGGCCAAGGATGTGGGTGCAGCAGAGTCATCCGGACAGGAGTTCCCAGACCTCTGAGAAAGCGGGCCACCCCAGCAGCCACTGGTCCTCACCAGGTCACTTCCCCGGGGCACTGGGATGCTGGCCCTGGTACACAATTCCTCCAGCGCCCATTTGCTCTCCCATGTTCATGGTGTGCAGGCTGTCGGACTTTCTTAGCACACCCCTGCTGATACTCTGGCTGTGGAGGGCCTGCCTCTGTGGGGCTCCCCTTTCTGTCACTGTGCTCACCTTGTGAGTGTGGCTGTCTGTGGCACTGCCCCAGGGCGGGGCTTTCTCCCGGCGCCCAGCCCACCTGCCACTTGGTGTTTTTCTGCAGCTCCTGGACACCTCAAGTGGACGCTTTCTGCTTAGGGCCAAGTGCCCCAAGGGCTGGGATGGGCTGCGGGCTAAGCTTGCCAGAAAAAATACAGAATGTCCAGTTAAATTTGAATTTCAGGCAGATCAATCATTTTTTTTTTTTTTTTTAGCATTAGTTCATCCCAAACACTGCACAGGACGTAGACTTTTACTTGCTAAATCTGGCAACCCTAGTGGGGGCTAACGTCCCTGTCCCCTTCCTCCTTTGGCTGGCCCTCCCTGCTGGGCCCACCTTGGCCCTCTTGGATCAGAGGCTTCCAGTGCCTGTGGCAAGGGTCCTGGAGCCAGGAGAGGCCGAGCTGGCTCAAACCAAAGTGAGTGGCTATTTCCTGACCCCCAGGTCCTGCGGGCCATTCCCACTGGAGGCTGGGGCAGCAGTCCTGGCTGCTGAGAGTGATTTCAGGGTCTTGTCTGGCTCTCTGACAGCAGAGTCCAAGGTGAGGAGGTCACAGGGCGGGGTTGGCTGGGCCTCTGTGCCTGTGAACGGAGCTGTGAGAAGGCCTGGAGCTGTGAAATGACCCACGAATAGAAAATAGTTTCATGAGTTTTGGACCCAGAGTGCTTAGGGGTGTTGAGGTAGAGGTCGGGGTAACAGGGATGAGGCAGGGCCGGGTAATGGAGGGCTTGGAATGTCCAATTTCTGCATCCTCAACAGTGGGGAGACATGGGGAGTGTTTTCTCTGTAAGCTGAGTTATGTTTCTGACTATTAGGGTAATACATTCTCTATATGTTCTCTATCTAGTCACCTGACAATCCAGAGTATTTTAGTACACAATTCAACGCTTCTTATAACCTCTTCTTCCCCAGGGCTAAACGCTGCTAACTGATTTTTTAAAAAAGATTTTATTGGGGAACTGGAGGAGGGGAACAGCGCTGGGGAATCAGGGAAGGGGAACAGACAAGTTGCTGTCCTTTTGTTCTTCAGTCTAGTTGTGGAGGACGTTGCTTCACTGGCCCATGTTGGCATCATCATTGCGCTTTTCCCAGGTGAGGCAGATCGGTCGCCAGCCCCTGGACGGCCGCTCACAGTGGCTCTTGGCAGCTCACGCCGGCTGCTGGCTGCTCACGCCTCCTGCCAGCCACTCACGGTAGCTTATGGCAGCCCACTGCAGCCCCACTGCAGCCTATGCTGTCGTCGGTAAACCCAGCTCCAGGTCATGTTGTTGTTCACCATCTTAGCTATAGAAGGCGCAGCATCGCTGGACCTCATGTGGGATCTGAACCGGGGCCCCACTGCTCAGAGCTGGCATCCCAAGCCAACTCTTAACCAACGTGCCACTCGGTTGGCCCTAACTGATTTGATAGATATCCTTCCAGGCATTTTTCTACGCACTTAACAACCATATTTTAAAAGGAAAAACAAGGGATCGTGTGAGTTACACTGCTCTGTCCCTTGACTTCTTACTTTCATCTATTGTATAGCTCATTCCAGAGTTCTTCCCTCTCCTTTTATGCCTATTGTTTGGATGGTCTTTAAATTATGTATCGATTATTAATCCTGTTGGTGGCCCTTTAGATGGCTTCTGGCATTTGGCTATTTATAAACCTCACTCGGGGAATCTCCCAGGCCACACACCTGTGTGCACTTGTGTTCCGGGACCTTCAGGAATGTTTCTGGTGGTGGGCTGCCTGAGTCAGAGGGCACACATATTTCCAGGTTTATTTGTACGCCCAGACCAATCTCTAGAGGCTGTGCCGACTTACCATGCACAAGAGGCCTCCTTCCTCTTGCCAACCATCGGCATTGTCAGTCACTTAAGTCCCTGCCAATCTGACAGGTAAAATGGATTCTATTTTCCATTTCTTTGGCCACTAACGAGGTTGAGTGTATTTGTGTGCTGGCCATTTCAGCTGCTTCCTTTGTGGATTGCCGGTTCATGCCATGTCCTCAGCTTATTTTTCTATTCATCTGTCCATTCATTCAGTAAGCATTTTTTGAGCCCTTACTATGTGTTGGACACTGTTTTGGTTAGGAACCTCACTGAACAAAACCGACAAAAAATACCTGCTCCATGGAACTTAAGCCCTAGTAGAGGAGAGACAGCCAAGGAAAACCAGATGCATGAAATACAGCGTGTGTGTGTGTGTGTGTGTGTGTGTGTGTGTGTGAGTGTTAAGTGCTAAGGAGAAAAACACAATGCAGGGGAGGAATGGGAAGTGTGGGTCACTTGGATGTGGTAGTCGGGAAGTCCTTCCTGGGAGGTGGCACTGTGGTAAAGACCCGGAGGGAGGAGAGAGAGTGAGGGGCAGGCTGGGCTGGTCTTCTCACGGCTCAGTGAGACGGCCAGCGTGGCCAGGACAGGGTATGTGAGCAGCGAATGGGGTGTGTGGCCAGAGAGGATCCAGAGCCAGGCCATGCGGGCCTGTGGGCCGTCCTAGGGACCTGGCTTTTCCTTAGAATGAAGCTCAGAGCCATAGAAGCTTCTGATTAGTGACATGACATGATAATGTTGACGAAAAATATCCAGCCTAAGAGAAAATTTATAAGAGTTTATTTGAACCAAACTGACGACAATTGCTGGGAAGCAAAATCTCAACGGATTGAGAAAATGCTCCAGAAAATGGCCGTTTTACAATTTATTTTATACATTAGAATCAAAGGATGAAGGTTACATGAAATCCATTGGTTGTAGATTACAGGGGTGGGAGAAAGCAAAGCAGGGAAATCTCTGGGATTGGATAAAAAGTAAAATGGAAAGACACACACTTCTTTTACATCGGTGGGTACAGCATAGTTAATAGCACTTTACAGCACATAGAGATAGTATTTGGGGAACAAGATAACAATGAGGAATTTTATAGATTCCTGCTCTGGTGTGGTGGGTTGTGCCCCCTGGGGAGTTTGGAAAAAGAGATTACTCTGATATTGTAAGGGTGTGTTATCTTAGATGCAAAAAGATGACAGACAGGCTTAAGGTAAAGGTTGACCTTTATCAAGGAAGCTACAGGCCAAGGTTGTGACTTCCCGCCATGGCCCACCTTTGTTAGGAAGTTTTATGTTCACACCATCCTCTGTGGTTTTTTTCAGTCTCCTGAGCTTGTCAGGTTTAACATGTGGCCCCTTTTTCATTCACAATCTGAATTTCGTTTTAACCAGACCCCGCTGGCTGATGTGAAGGGGGCTGGAGTGGAAGAAGGGAGATCAGTCAGTAAACTGTTGCAGTGATCAGGGGAGGGGTGGTGAGGGCTTGGACTAGGGGCCTTGATGGAGGTGGGGCCAAATGGATGGATCCTGGGTGCATGCTCATGGTAGAGCCAATAAGATCTGCTGACAGATTGGACAAGGTAGTGTGTGAGAGAGGGGCCAAGGATTACTGTCTTAGTCATTTTGGGCTGCCGTAACCAAATGCCATAGCTTGGCTGGCTTAAACAGCACACTGTTATTTCCCACACTTCGGGAGACTGGGAAGTCCAAGATCAAGGTGCTGGCAGACTCAATTCTTGGCGAGGACCCCCTGCTTGGCTGACAGACGACCTTTATCTCCCTGTGTGCTCACATGACCTCTTCTTTGTGACAGGAGAGAGAGAGAGCGCTCTGGTGTTCTCCCTCTTCTTATAAGGGCGCTGATCCCATCATGGGGGCCCCACCCTCGTGACCTCTTCTAACCCTACTCACCTCCCAAAGGCCCACCTCCAAATGTCATTACATTATGGTGAGGGTTTCAACATACAAATTTTGGAGGCACAAACGTTCAGTCCATAACAATGACCCCAGTGGTTTTGACCCAAGCGGCTAGAAGGGTGAGGCTGCCAACAACAGAGAAAGAGCAGAGAACGGGAGTCGTGGATTTGGAGTGGGGGTCCTCTGCTGTGGCCAGGAATGGTTACGTAAAGTGTGGGGCACACAGCAAAATGAAACGAGGTGGCCCTTTGTTTAAAAAAAATATTAAAAGTTTCCAAGTGGTTACAGTAGATCATTAAACCAAGCCTGGGGCCTGTGTGACTCCCTAAGTTGTCACTGGTGAGCAGGCCCTGCTGTGGACTATGAGGGGTGATGTGCCAGTAGACATCCAAGTACAAATGTGGAGTTGATAGTCGGATATTCGAGACTGGACTTCAGGGGGTAGATCTGGGCTAGAGATAAAAATTTGGGGTAATCAGTATAAAGATAGTATTTAAAACCATGAGATGGATGAACATCAAGAGAGTGAGACTAGATAGGAAAGAGAAGGACCAAAGACCCAGCCCTGGGGTTTCCTTCAGCCAGAAGTTGGGGAGCTAAGGAGGAACCGAAAAGGCGACTGAGAAGGAGCAACCAGCAAGGTGGAGGAGAATCAGGCAGGTGTGATGACCTGGAAGCCACGGGCAAGGTGTTTCAAGTGTGAGGGTGAGTGAGTTGTACGCTTGCTGAGCACTGATCATGCATTAGCCGTGGTGAGGTCACAGGCGACCTTGGTTTCAGTGATGGGAGGTGCGGGGGTCAGGTGCGCGCGCGCATGTGTGTGTGTGTGTGTGTGTGTGTGTGTGTGTGTGTGTGGTGAATCCTATTGACTTGCAAGAACAAATTCATTTGT